TTTAAAACAAGAACAAAAGTGATCTAATATATATCTCTTTGTATAAAAAAATTGAGCCTGATGACAAATATTGTAGCAAAGTTTTCATTTTTCTGTTTAATTGGAAAATAGCACTTTAAAATGTAAGAAAACCATTTTTTTTGTTGTTGTTGTTAAGTACATTCAAGTCAGTTCTGATTCATAGTGACTTTGTATAGGGTTTCTGAGGAGCGGCTGGTGGATTTGAACCACTGACATTGTGGTTCAAACTGACTTTGCAGTCCTGTGCTTATCCTACAGCACCACACCAGAAGTCCTAGGAAAACCATAGCCACCCGAAAAACTGTTTGACATTTCATTTTATAAATTGAGCATTGAACTTGAGCCTTCTCATTCCTAAAGATGATCTCTCAGTCATGAAAGGTCTCTAACTGGAGGATTTGAAGAGATGACAGACTGAGAGGTTGTACTTTCTGGTGCCACTTGTCACATTTTCTCATAAAAGCCTATTTATACATGACTGCAAAAATCAATCCAATGCAGAGAAAAAGGTAGTTTTGAAAGCAAACATAGAATTACAGACTGAAACGTGCTACTTCTCATCTATCATACTCAAAACAAAGTTTAGTGTTAATTTGGGGTGTTTTATATCTATAAATGGTAGAGATTAAGTATTTCTAGATTTCTTAGAATACTGAAAGATATAATTTAAAATTAAGTTCCTTAGATCTGTCTCTGAAATCCTGCCCCTCCTTTTTTTTTTTTTAATTTTCTGTATATGTATGTGGGTTAAGTGGGAACCAATTTATATCTTTTTTCAAAGTTGATAGTAGCAGAATACTTCACTGTATTTTCATAATTAAGTTTTTATTGATTTTAATAGCCAAACTCTGATGTACATAAATAGGTGCCTATTTCAAGTCCTTTTCCTTAGAAAATACTGACAATTTGCTAAGATACTATATGTCTTAATATACAGTTTGTAAAGACAATTTGCTTCTATGCACATTACCTGGTTTTTGTTGTTGTTGTTTTTAATTGTAGAAAAAAGTTCATTGAAAGTAATATGTAAGTAGGCAGTGGTGATTGACTAGTTTTCTTTGATTATAACATATCCTAGCAGACTTTGTGACAGTTTCCCTTTATTTTCTAAAGCACTAAAACTGCCCTGTTATTTTTCTTTTCAGTTTTTCTTTACATCTTTTGGTGCAAGGGATAGAAGTTACCTCAGCATTTTCAGATTATGGCAGAATGTATTATTAGACAAGGTAAGTGTTCATATCTGGGCCAGATGTTTATTATAATAGCAATTTCCCAGTGTGTACTTAAGCAGTGTTTGTGAGTCGAAGAGCTGCTTTTTATTTTTTTGTACTTGATTTTGATTGTTGTTAAGTGCCATTGAGTTGGTTCCAACTCATAGTGACCCTGTCCAAGGAGTGGCTGGTGAGTTTAAACTGCCAACCTATGGTTCAAACCGACCTTGTGGTTCAGTGCTTTATCGTACAGTACTGTACCAGTACTATTAGACTATTCAGATTCCAAGATGGAACTGGAAGCAAAGCTGAGTTATACATTCACATGCCTATTGTAATCCATAAGACAACCACCATGAGAATAACTTTTTAAAATATAGCAAAAGAGGCTCTCTGCTCCTCTCCATTCAACAGGCAGCTGCAGCTTCGCATCCTTGAGACAGGATGGTAAAGGTCAGAGTCAACAGATTTGGCCGTATTGGATGCCTGGTCAGCAGGCTGCTGTTAATTCTGGCACAGTGGAGGTTGTTGCCATCAACAACCCCTTCGTTGACTTCAACTACGTCGTCTACATGTTCCAGTATGATTCCACCCATGGCAAGTTCAATGGTACTGTCAAGGCTGAGAATGGGAAGCTTATTATCAATAAGAAGCCCATCTCTATCTTCCAGGAGCGAGATCCTGCCAACGTCAAGTGGGTTGATGCCAGTGCTGAATATGTTGTGGAGTCCACCGGTGTCTTCACATCCTTGGAGGAGGCTGGGGCTCGCCTGAAGGGTGGTGCCAAAAGGGTAATCATCTCTGCCC